ATTTTATAATTAATAAATTATCTTATTTTACTTAAAGCTTTTATATCTTTAAATCTTTTGACAGTTGCTTGCGAGTTTCAGCACTCAGCTTTCTTAATTGAACATTCTAGATATTTAGTGATTTCTTATTTGATGTCCTGAAATGTTTAATTTACGTGATTTCACAGAAGCAGCTCCAACAAAAACCCATGACACTTGTGAGTTTGACTTTATTTTAACAAAACTGCAGCGCTATTTACAATTTGTAAAACATGAAAAAGAAAAACAGACATGATGATCATTTCTTCCTGCAGTGATAACAGACTTTGCAGAATCTACTACAAAAAACAAAAACTCATTCAACGTATTTGCCMAGGATGTCTCCATCACGGAACAGGAAATAATCCTGCAAACACATGAGAATAAAGCAACATGTTAAAACCAGAATCAGCACCAAGTCAGAAGTGACTGAGACTAAAACTGAGCTTCACCTGATCGTCCAGAACCACTTTGGTTCCTCCGTATTCTGGTAGGAGAACCTTCTCTCCGACCTTCACACTCACCGGCTGCACGTTACCTTTCTGGAGAAAAATTAAATAAGTTAAGGATTATAGATAAAAACAAAGCCAGACAAGCATGATTCCTTTTCATTTAATCACAGAAGCTATGGTTAGAATAGTGAATATGTGTCAAATGACCTGGTTGACAGAGCCCGGTCCGACTGCCACCACTGTGGCCTGCAGAACTTTGCCCTGGGCCTTCTCTGGCAGCATGATGCCCCCCTTTGTTACAGTCTCYGCCGTCAACCGCTGCACAAGCACGCGGTCGAACAGAGGGAGGAACTTCCTGAAGGCCTGTGAGCGAGAAGTAACACAGTATCAGATCATTGTTCCAAGAACCAACACCTTCCACATAATGTTGCAACAAATCCTGCTTTTAAATAATTACAAAACACAACATCTCACTCGATGTTCTCAACCCCCCCACTCCTCAGATTGTAGCACTGCAGCAGGGAGGGTGAGCAGTGAACACAGAGGCAGAGGTGGTTCAACTCAGGTTAGCTGTTCCTCATTTAGTTACAACATTTTTGGGAATGTCTAAAACCAGTCGGACAGTTTCAAACAGCAGCACTGACCACGGGTCAGGGCTCTTTGTAGAAGAGAACCGGACCCAGCTTGATGACTGGGTGTGTGTGTGTGTTAGCTGGGGCGGGGGTGGTCCGAACCATCACTCATCCTGTGATAAGTTTGACCATGAAGCTGAGCAGGACCAAGGACAGCTCACCTCACTGATAACACCTTCAGAGAACTCCTCAACGGGAGTTTCTGCAGCTTCCAGAAACTTCAGCGCTGCTGGTTAAAAGCCTGGGTGGGATTAATCTCACATCCTGCCAGCTGGATYAACTCTGTTCTTTATTAACGCATTAAAACACGAGTCAGAAAGATCGTCCCTAAACCTTCGCTCCTCGGTTTGTTTATTCAGCCGTCAACAGCCTGACRTACTCAGTTACCAATGGTTATATTTTACCAGATCCAGAACAGAAATAACTTTAAACTTTAAGTTTCTTAACTTCTGCTCCTTGCATTCATCTAACCTCATCTTTACCAGCTGGAATACCTTTATCAATGATGTGTTTTACACATCAGCTAATAAATCACTTGAAACAAACAAACAAAAAACTTTCAATAAACTGCAAATATTTTTTAAAATATAGCCGAGTAAAACATTTGTCATTACTCTAAGACGTGACGATGCACAGAGTAAAATCATGTAAATAGGAATCTAAATCTAAGTCACAATAAAAATACTGCAGCAAATAGACCAATTTTTTGTATTTAAATGGAACCATTTAAATAACTTATTTTGAAGCAATGAAAGAACTTTTGAGCTGAGGTTAATTCAAATATTCAAAATAATACAAAAGAAAACAGCCAAGCCTTAAGGCCCTGTCACACTAGACAACTTGTGAATATTTTAAAGACGTCTACGTTGAAGATGGAGTTGAAAAAAATCAACAGGAAGATTCATTTCAGCATGGACATACCTTAATTCTAACAAACTGATCAAATGTATGACTTTTATTAACAATTTAGACATAAAAAATGTTTCATAAGTTGTCTAATGTGACAGGGCCTTTACTGGTTGTAGAGCAGGGCTATTCACTGGTGGCCTGCGGGTCACATCCGGCCCGCAAGTGACCAAAGTTCGGCCCACCCATTGGTTCATTTTTCTCTTCAGCCCATACTCCTGGTTTTCTACTTTAATTACTTTTAGTTCTTTTAGTTAAACATAAGACTTGTGGTATCTACAGAAATGTGAACACTCAAGATAGTTAAAATTACAAGCAGATGAATGTAAAGCTATGAAAGTGAAAATTGGTTTAAAAAATTTGGCAAGTCAGAGATGTTAAAATGGTATTTGTGTCAAATAGGAGACAATGTGTTATTTTTGTTTTTAATATTGATTAATTATCACTACTTTTATAAAGGTTCTGTATGTATTCATGATTAAATGCATCAAAATAAACTATTTCAAAGTTAACAGATCTTTGTAGTCCTTGGTTTATTTACATAATAACTTTAATTGCTGGATGTTCGGCCCCTCAGTTGTTGACCAGCAGTAACTGTGGCCCCCGGAGCAGYTTAGTTGAATAGCCCTGTTATAGAGATTACTTGACAAGAAATGTTTAAATATGTTTAAAACAGCAACTCTCAACATTAAAGAGTGGAGCAACAGTTCAAACTGTTTGCTCACAGCAAAAATGTTGCAGATTCAAAACCAACTGCTTGGTGAATTTTCTGTTTTTTTCTCTCCCAAAACAACATTAGGTTAAAGGCACAGTGTGTAGGATTTTGTCAATTATTTTAGCCGAAATTGAGATAATCACTAATGACAATAATAAAAAACATGTCTAATCACTGCAGACAAAGACCTTATTTTGTTATTTTTACCTTATAAAAAGCTGTTTAT